TTAAGGACAGACCCGACTTGAAATGACGGCCCGAATATCTATAACAGTGTTTTTCAACCTGTGGGTCGCGACCCCCCTGCCCCCTGCGAAGCCTTACACGGGGGGTCGCGTGTAAAAGAAAAAGACAAGTGTTTGTAGGTCCTACACTACATTAAAAAAACTACAATTTCACCGAGAAGGCTGTACCTGTTTATTATACAGTACAGTTGGATTTTTGATTGACAATTAGGTCTGAATGATAGGTGTCGCCAGGGAGGGGCCCGAGTGGTTATGGCCCACCCCAGAAAATGATAGCCGAATAAGTGTTGAGCTGACTTATAAAATGAAGTAATAAGTAGAAAAGTATAAGTTGATAACTCTCATCCTAAAAAAAAAAGCACTCCAAACCCAATGTTATTATAAAAAGGAAGTGTCATACTATACGTGTCGATTCTTAGCAAATTCTCATTTTAACCAACAATAATTTCTCTCAACAGAAAGAAAATTAAATACATAATTTTTAAAATCACTGATATAGTTTTAATATGGTCCTAAGGGGGTCGCCAGAATTTTTTAACTTGTAAAGGGGTCGCGTATTCAAAAAGGTTGAAAAACGCTGATCTATAATATAGCACTAGCTTATTGTAAGCTCAAGTAATGTGATACAATATGCTAATGTCGCGTTAACCAAGCTTAATACGCGTCTTGTAATGTCTTTGTACTGTAAAATAGTCAAATGACGACATACAAGAGCGATTTCAGTCAATCGGGTCAAGACGGCGGGTTATGGCGGCAGTCTGCCACTCTGGGGAGCCAAAATCGAATCCGAAATTATTCGGGGAGTGGTCCGTCCGAACATATCGGGCACCGTCCCTCACCTCTTGGCATCCCCACTCTAGGCCTAGCCGAACCCGCAATGGTCTCGCTAAAAAAAGGCCCTCTTAGTGCCGAAAGGATGGGATTTAAAAAATGCGTTAGAAATTGTGAAGAAAGCTATTAAGAGAGTTTTAATAATTATATTATTCTTACAATTTTAATAATTCTGTTTAGTCGAATAATAGATTCGACTTTTTCGCTATGAATATTCCGAAATTTTCACTCGAAAAGCCCGTAGACTCGTAAACATCGAATTTCCTTGCACAATCATTTACGTTCTTCTTAAATAAGTTTATTATACTAATGTATCAGTAGTAACAAACGACGTTAAGTACTGTACAACTGTATGACATTTATATAAAAGTAATGGTAATTATAATTAGTTAGTAATGAATAATTGGCATGTGAATAGTCAACTGCACGAACTGACTAAGCGGATTTTTTAAATCAGTTTCTATTGAGTCATCGCGAATTTTCTAAAGAACATACGTGTATTTAACTTTTAACGGTCGTTTTCAAGAATTACTTCTATAAATAACTTATATAAAAAAAAACTACGAAGACAGTAAAATATTTAAATATTAAACTTAATTCTCTTAATTTGCGTATTAGTGCAATTCAATTTCAAACATCAATATTTTTCAATTAAAATTTAAAATATTTACAAATCGGCATATAAATTTTCAAATCATTAATTGCGATGAAAACGTCGGCCGCAACCTCGCTAAGTCGTGAACGTCGGACGTGCAGCGCCGCCTTCCTGTGAGTCTAGAAGTTTGACAATGGCGTTTGGAACGTCAGTGGAATCATGCTCTACGTTCCAAACGCCATTGTCAAATTTCTAGGCTTACAGAAGGCGGCACAGTACGTCCGACGTTCACGTCTTCGCGATGAAAACGTCGGCCGCAACCTCGCTATTTAAACGTGTATAATTGACGGCGTGGGTCCACGCCTTACCAACGGCCACGTGAAATTTTCAGTTTTCTTCGTGTATACCCCCGAAGGCAGATCGCCTGTTACGATGTTTTCTTCTATCAATCTAATCCCTACTGTGGAGCCGACCGAACCCATACTGTTGTGGAAAAATGGCCGTCTTAATGCCCACAGAGTGAAGTCAAAAATGAAAAAACACGTTTGAGAAAATATATCAGCAGTTCATTAATGTTTCCGAAGTTATAGCGAGAGAACGCTTCGAAAATTATGGCGAAATATGGCGGATCTATCTCAATTTTATCATCTACTGAGCAAATTGTTAGGTTAGGTCTTTCGAAATAAACCAACGAATGTGTAATCAACGAAGTACCCTATTTTTATCATATTCTAAAATTCGCCTGATATAATGCGCGTGGCCAAGCAGCCTGATGTTGAAATTTGGAGATTTCGGAGCCGATTCGCGAGAATTTTCGAACGATTCTAGACGACATACGCGATCCTTTACAAAAAGTTGAACAAAACTGCCGCTTTATAGGAACGCGTGCCGCAAATAACACAAGCGCCAAAACTGTAATAAAAAGCGTTCTTGAGAATATTCGAGCGCCATTTTTAATGTTACTAGTAATTTGACACTAACGAAGTGTATTATCATACCGACAATAGATTAATATGAGAACTTTGATTTAGAAACTTTCCTCTAATAAATTTACTTAATTTTATCGGACGTTTAAGGTAGTGTTGTAGGATTGGCAAGGAATACTGATACGTTCTTAGAAACTTCCTATTTATGCAGTCTTAGGCCTATGTAAAAACAAACACTGGGAAACTTTCGTGTTTTCGGTGATGTCTTCATATATTCCGAGTGCTTAGTGTTTCCAGTTAAGTATAATATACTGTACCGAGCTTGGCACAATGCAAACTCGTTATCATCCTTATTCGAGCTTAGGAACTCGTTTAGAATCCGAATTTAGTTTCGTCTTTCGGCAAATGTTCAACTGTGAATTTAAATGTACGGTTTCGTTCCCGTTCGCCATTATGTTCTTAAAACCGAGAATTTTAATCATTCTAATCTTCTGTAAAATTTCTGGCATGGTGAAATGCCGTACCATGCTTTCTTTGTAAACTGGAATGTGCGTGCCATACATTAATCATTCTTCTATCCACATTTCGCTCATTAAAATACGTTATCTAATCAGTACTTTAAATTGTTATCATACAATTCAACATTCTTAATTAATGGTTTTTACTCAGAATTTCAACGACTTATTTTCTGAAAGAAAGCAGATTAGTTCAAACACGCGAACGTATAAACAATTTTTTAATTTCAAATCAACAGAAGCACCGCATATGCTTGTATGCCATTCACTTTGTCTTGATCTTTCATTTTTTTCACGAAACATTTTAACAAATCATCTATCAAAATATTGGATGTATTAGTCTTAAGCACCGTAGATTAAATTACCTTATACAACCGGAACAGTTAACTGATTTTTGCACCACCACCTATAATGTGAAGTCATTCTTATGCAATCTACGAACTTAAGATTCCGAAACTTCAGTACAAGAGTGAGCAGTAACCCTAAAAATACTTTCAAAAAGATACGAGATTGTAATTTAGAAGTATTTTAATGCATTCGATAATGGTAACACGTAACGACAGTTAAAAAAGTCTAAGATTTTTAAGAACTTAAGCAATCAAATTATTTAAAATCTGGTTTTCAACAAGCGATTATACAAATTCCATATCTGGCATTCGTGTATTACGTTCGTGTTTTACAGAATCATTAGAAAAACTATGTTCTGTTTTATCGTGACGGTCCTTGTAAAAACACCACCGTATAACGTACGTCGTGATAGTTTAATATCGAAACAACTATCATAAAGTTGCGAATTAAGGGGTATTTCGCTAGTTATCTGTGTGTCAATCACGAGGACGGAACGTTGGCGCAGAAACCTTACCAGTTTCTGGCGTGACGTAATTTTTGTAGTTGCCTAACTGGAGACCGATTTCATCACAGCAATTTGTATTTAAATTATGCTAAATGGAGTAACGCAACTAAATTAGCGGGTATCAAAAATTGGATTTCTGTAAATCTACTACACACGAAAAGTTGTCTTCCTATTAAAATGTTTTATAGTGCGAGAATAAAACTGTACGTGTATATTCCTTAAGCAAACGCGTTACGTATGTGTACCGCCTACCGGCTACTCCTTTCCTGTTAGCAAAAACTTGCGATTTAACAGTTTGTGCGCGCTAAAATTCAGAGAATCTCTCCCCCCAGAAAATTCGAAAAGGTATCCGATTAAGATCAAAACCGTAGCACGTACGGGACAGAAATAAACACTATAGCAACATAAATCAAGTGGCGATAAAATTAAGACGGTACAAGAGTGGCCATTCATCACCGGCTCCAACATGTACCCAGATTGATTTACGAGAACAAATAAAAACGTCATTTTCTTCCGCTTTTAAATGGTTCACTCCGTTTGCATTTATGGATCTACTCTACTTTTTCTGTACTTTCGGACGTGAGTCGTCCTCTTCTTTCCTCGATATTATCGCTCCATAGACTGCACAGGATATTAAACACCCAGTGGGAGACATCCTACACTCTTATCACGTGTATAAGTGATCTGCCATGGTCCCACGCCTTGGAAAGATAAAAATAGCCTCTTTTCTGCCACACCACGTGTAATTCGTCCTTGTCAAGAATTATAATTGTGTAAGTATTTTATCCCGAATGTCCTCGTCAGAAATATAAACGCTATTAACTTTTTTTTATGTCCGTGTCGAGACCTTGTTCTGGCGAAAACAATTGTCCCTGAACCTGAAATGTTAGAGTTATAAATTTTTTCCTATTCTCATAAATTACACTAATGCTTTTCTTCGTGGGGAAGTCCTTGGTGTGTGCATATAACAGAGAACCCACACGTACGATCAAATAAAATACGCATGAAAATTAGCTTGAAAGTAGTTTGTTCAGGAAAGTTACAAAACTTTTGACAGACCCACTTCTGTATTCAAATAACCAGTTTTGCTGTAAAAAAATCATTAAAAATTCTCCCTTTTAAAGCTTAAGCCTTATCTACAATCCATCGATACTTTTGTATAGAATAAAAAGCAATTCTATTTTTTCACAATTATCACAAAAAACTTCCTTTCAGCTTGTTCCAAATAACTGTAGAGTTGTTATTAGGAAAAAACTGCTACATTAACTGATCTTTCAAAATATTTTATTCAACACATTTATTTACAATAAATTTTAAATAACTGATAAAAATGATCAAATATCTGCAGAATTCTCTAAATGCAGAAAGCACTTTGAAGTTTATATTTTACATGTAGCAGTAGCAGCATAGTTCCCTGAAATGTGAAAATTATTTTTAATCAATAAGAATAAGCATAAATTTTAAAACAGATTCTAAAGTTAAATGTATAAACATGATTTCTGATGGCAGCACGTAGTTCCGCAGCAAACAAATGAATTATTCCACAAAAACAATTGCTAGATATTAAAATTATACAAATTTTTTGCCCGCATTGTAAGTTGGCTTCAGAAACAGGAGCATTTGTCATGGAATTGGCATCAAATTCGAGATCTCGCCGGTGTTGGATAATCCGGCATGGCTCGGTCCGAGACTGTGGAAGGAGACCACCAAGTTATCCGGTTGGTGTCGACCCGAGGAAAAACGACGAGCCGATTCTCAGGACTCGCCACACAACGACGGATCTTTTGATAGAATCCGGGAGATTCTACAAACTGACTACCAATTCTCAGACCTTTTACTTGTTCATCATTAGCCATCTTAAGATCTCATGCTATATTGTTAATAAAAATTTCACATATATATGCCATTCAATTAATACAAATATTTAGAAAACAAAAATTCAGTAACAATTGCATAAGCAAAAGAAAAAAAGTTTATTCAATTTATTTTAGGATATAAGAAAATATCCTATTTATAACAATGGGAAAGACAAGGGAGAAATTAAAATTACTAGAAGCATCAAATTTTCCTACATATAATTGTCTTTGGAAAAGTTTATAGTGGTTTATTATTTTTAAACTTTCCTATACTTTTTTAGATGAAAACATGTTAAAATTTTGCAACATTAAGCATCTTATATGTAAGGAAATATATAATTACATACTTTTTTATTCATATACCTTTCCTTTCCTTGTTCAAATTAACTCTTGCCACTTATAAAAATGTTGAAATTTAACTAATAATTATTTTTATATTCATTATTGTTTGCATTTAAAGTTAACCATATTACCATTTTACATTTTAAAAACTTCACTCATGATGTTAATCATACAGTAATTAAATTTAATTACTCTTTTGGCTTTTATACAATGTTAAAATTAACAAAAATACTTTATTAATAAAGTTTATAATACTGAGTTGAATTTAAAGATAATGATATTTGACTGGTGAAGAAACAGTTCAGTGACTTGATAAAGGAAAATGTCATAAAATATGAAAACTTTATCTTATAAAACTACCCACCACAAGCATTCTAGGAATGCATTCATTTAATCTACAGAAAAACTACACAGTGTTTCCTTGACTCTCATATGCAATTTTTTTTTGGATTTTAATCTCTTTGAATTCAGGATGTCTTACAGTTAAATTCAACACCAGAAGAATCTTGTCCATTTGACAAATGACAAGAAAATTACACTTGGTTGGTAAAGTGAAGTGATAACAAGTCTGTTTTCAATTATGTGTATTGAATTCAACTAAAATTTCAATGATACTTTTCAGCTAAATTACATTAAGATGTAGCATGAAATGAAAATGTATTATGTATATAGATGAGCATGGAGATAGTTCTCCAAGGTATACATAAATATATTGTGTGCATTTATTTTAATGTTTTAGTGAAGATTTTGTTTAAAGCTGTACATAATACTATAAATAAATTTGTGCTACTATGCACTAAAAAATTTTTGTGCACTACAAATTTTGAGTCAATAATGCATCTTACAATCAAAAGAAATATAAAGAGTGAAAAAGCAAGTATACAGTTATGAATCTGCAAAAAAAACAGATGTTTGATGCACAATTCTTCATTATTTATTTTATATCTTTTATTTTTCATTTCTTATTTGTGATAGGTTGATGCCTGCCAGTCAAATGCCACCACAACCACCAGACTGTATCCCAATGAACTATTACTTTTGGGGTATTATCAAAGATAAAGTATAGTAGGGTTCTGCCATGCAAAACAAATATATTCCAAGATTTCTTGTATAAGTGGAAATTCAAGTAAAAGAGCAAACTGCATTAATTACTAAGTACAGGTAACCCCTATATAACACGGGAGTTATGTTCCAAAAAATTGCCACATTTATACGAACAAAGAACTAGTACAAAAGGGGGGTTAGGTTCCAAAAATTAAAAAACATGCTATTATATTTTCATAATTAAGATAAATATATTTATTAAAACTTTCTTAAAAAGTAATACATATTAATATAAATTAAACAATGTTTTCTTCGTCATCACTAAGCACTATTAACTGGTTCAATGCCTAAAAACCAGCTACAGAATAAAATATGGAATAAGGGAAAAACATCTGGCAACACAAAAACAGAAGCATCAAGATCTGGCAACACTGAAATACGTTTCGAGAAAGACCACATGTATCGACAGAAGGTGGGAAAAGAAAATTTACATACTTAAGTACTAATAGTTCACGAAAATTATGCAGGAAAATCTGATAGCACTAGAATGAAAAATGTCAAATGAGGTATCTTTTGCACTTAAAAGCTTTATCATGTTTATTGAACTGTTGTACAGGAATTTCCCTAAATTCAAATTAGATAAAGTTTGCTTTTAATAGTTTTTATTACATTTCATGTTGTACAAGGGTTTTACCCAAATCTCAAACCATGTTAGAGTGAATCCGTGCTATAGAAGTGCTGTGTTATAGTTTGATAAGTATATTAGTATTTCTATACTAATATACTTATCAAACTTTTTTTATATAACCTAACTAAAGCAAATAAACACTACATTAAATTTTTTTATTTTACATATTTTCAATTATTTTCCAGATTATCAACAGCACAAACCAAAAAATTGCATATGGAAAAAAAACACATGGCAGGGTCCTACTGTATTTTCACATAAATCATAAGAGAGGCACATTAAGAAACTGATGACAATGAAGAACTCTGCCAACATGTGCTTGAGTATATAATCTACAGTACAGAAATGTGTCAATACTGAAAGCCAACAAGCAAGCATTTAAGAGATTGTACTTAATTGTAATATGTTTGTCATCCTTATTGTGACTTAATAAAGTATCTAATAATCATAACTTAGTAATCATCTACAATATTTTACCACAATGAAAACCATACCACTGTAATCCCCTATTCAGTGAATACTGTAATTGGCTAGTTTCAAACTTTCAATAAATTTGAGTTTAAAAATGGCCCAAAGATTCTAGCTGCTTGTTACTTAGAAGCTTAACATTGTTGAACTAATGAATTTAGAAAAATCTTGAAAATAATAAACTTATAAACCAGAGATCATTTGTAACACAACATTTTTTTTTTATTTTATAAAAATGAAAACTTAAAATAAAGTTAGCCTTCTTATATCTAGAATAAAATATCATCAGTAATAATTATAGTAAAACGTATCCTATGATTATTATTAACAACTATAATAAGATTTATCCAAACTATAATTATTTCTTTATTTGGTTATATTTTAATAGACAATATTTTAAATTTTCAATAAAAATTGAAACTTTTGCTTCAGACAGACAAATTTCAGGCAATATAGAATTTCTGTTCTTATGTTAAACAAAACTGGAAACTAAAACATCATCAAATTCCACCACGGATAAACTTAATTCAACAAAGGTTTTTGATTATATATTTTTTCGTTGATGGAATTAGTACAAATTGTTCTTGTCTTACAATAAAGTTAAAAATAAGAATATTCATTTACTGGCAAGAATAATTCATATTTTGTTTATAGGTTCAAAAAAACAATATGATCAAAATTTACAAAAATAAAATTTATAGTGAAATACCTTGCATAACTTATTTGCAATAATGATTTAAAACATTGACTGAAGCATGTGAAATCTGATTAAAGCAAAATTTTTTGGTACCCAGCAACAACTGACTAAAGAAACAAACATATTTTAACTAACAATCTGCAAGTATAAATTGAGAAAATTAAAAAATTCAGGGACAATTTAAAATCATATGTTACAATTTATTATGGGACAATTGTTCTCTTTTTAACTTTAATTAATTAATTAATTTTATGTTATTTACTCCAATTTTGCAGAATATTAAAGATTAATTTTGAATCTAAATAATGTAAAAATTTCACAGAATTAATTCAAAAGGCTATTTCTGAATCCAATTTAAAAAGAATAGGATCAGATAAATCATTTAATCTAATGAAATTAATTTCCTCAATATCAACTGCTGCTATTAAAAAAATCAGCAACTAATGCAACAGCTCTAGAATTTACAAGTAAAAGAAGCAATGTTCTATAACAGGAAACAAGATTTTTATATCTTTTGAAATGTATTAATTTCCTCTTAAAGTTCCATAGCATCAACTATACGCAATTTGATTATAACAAGATTAATAATGGACACTTTATTTATAATTCAGCTAGGTTAAAAGTTTATTTATATTAATCAGTCATCAGTGGTAAGACAAGACAGTGTATTAATATGTTATCAATAATCAAGGAAAATGTCAAATTGTTAACAACATTAAAAATCAAGTTTATTCTGTATGGCAACTGGCAAGTTAAATGATTAACTTTACAACTAGAAAATTAATATTATATCAATGCTAGCATTTATGTTTTCATACTATCAACTCTTTGTTATAATGAATTATACCTCTATATAAGAGAACAATGCTATATATTATATAAATTATCTACAATTGGCCTGGTTAAAGAATTTAATTTCAAATTAATGATAGAAAGAGAACAGTATAATTATAACTTTTAAACCATAAAAATCTTTACACTACACAAAATTTATGGCATTTAAATTTAAAATTTGATGTGAAAAACTTACTTATATTCTAGAGAAATACAGAGAGAAAAGCCTGAATTTTATAATTTACAGTATTTTCCATTTTATATATTCTCAGAAACCTCAGAAATTTACCTCCACTAATTCACAAACTGTCAACCACTATTTAATAATGTTTACTTTACATCTAAAGGTTACAACAGTATTTAAATAGAAAAATGATTTCTTCTAAAAAAATATTCATTTCTATCAAAGAATGAAATTTATTTTATCAAAACTTGATTAATACAGTAGAGCCTCGATTATCCGACCCCCTATTAACCGACACCTC